GGTGCCCAGATCGTCCGAAGTACACTCTGTTGTTGCAGAGTTTTGTTTATCGAGTTGTTGTTTTGCTTATCGAGTTGTTTGTCGAGCGGACGTGTTTCGTGTTTTCGATTCATTACTTTCTGATTAAACAATCTTTGTTTTAAGTCTTGTTTATTCGCGTTGTCAACGTTATTGCATTATGTTTATCGAGTTGTAAACTTGCTAAAGGTTCTGTTATATCTTAGTAAGTTGAGTTGCTTAGTTTGTTGCGTCGGTTCATTACCTGACATGGTGATTACACAATGCACATTCCCATTCAATTTCATTTTTGTGCGAAATAAAATGATGCGATACGATGCTAAAAGTTTAAAATACAAACACCCTTCCAAAAGCTGTTTCATTCCATCATGCTTTACAACAAACAAAGGTACAAGTTTTACAAAAAATAAAACTGCCTAACAATGTGCAAAGTGCTACAAACTACTAGCAAAAAGAAAAATAATGCAGGAAACAGCAGCATCAATGTCCTCGGGAGCGGGAATGAGAAGCACTCCTCATCCTCTTCTGCGGGACAACCTCTGCACCATCATCATCATATGGGTCGGAGCTGTCATCCTCAGGATCCCCCTCAGCCTCGCCTCTGTTCCCCGAACCAAGACCGGAGCCCCCCTCCTCAGCAGATGTCTCTGACTAACGGTCGGTAGCCTCCTCCTCCTCCTCAGCATCCTCCTCCTCCTCATCAGGCTCCACCTCTATAACATGAGCCCTGTATCTGCGGATGGGCCCTCCTCGAGCTCCTCGAAAAGGCCTAGATGGCCCGGCTCCTCGGAAAGGCCGGGATGGCCCAGGCCCCTGAAAAGGCCCGGATGGCCCAACTCCGTGAAATGGCCCAGATAGCCCAGCTCCCCAAGGAGGCCCAGATGGCCTGGCCTGTGGCTGACTGGACCATGAAGGCATCTGAAAATAAAGAGTTCAATTCAAATACATCAGTCCAAATATATTTATCAGATGCAGATACAAGCAAAGGCTACATGAAGTGGGTGCATGTAAATACAGTGTACAAGTGGGGTGTGTGTCAGATGTGCTCTACACAAGCAGTCTATCGATGCAGTAGAAATCAGCATGTCATCAGAAGTATGACAAATGCCAGAAAATCGAAGGGTACCTGAATGCCCGCGACAGACAACTGTGCCTCCCTACGCAGGACCATGCCCTCGAGTGTGGCCACCAGTCCAACCACCTCCTCCGTGTACCCTCGCGATGGCTGCAAATATGAGCTCATAATCATCAATGAACAAAAGAATGTCTAAACATCTGAATGATGAATGAAAAACAGTAGAGCATACCAGCGGTGAATCAGGATCAATGGCGTATCGATCACTGGGCATCGGAGGCTCTAGCGGGATCGGGGTCGGAGAAATAGCCCCATACTGCCACGCCATCAACTCAGTAGGCATATCTGGCCATCCAAGATGAGGATAAGTCGACGGAGTCGGAGGAACCGGTCTACCCCCACCTCTAGATGTACCAGCCCTGCTAGTAGAAGAGGCGTCTGCAGCCCGAGCCCGGGCCTGGCCCGAGGATGACATACCGGCAGGCCTCATCATCGGGATACGAGCTCCCGTCAATGGAGGCATCAAATATATGTGACGATAGGTGGCGTAGTCCCCCTCCGCAACATATAGCAAAGCATCGCTGCCCAGCATGGCGCCGACTACCTCCGAGTAAGAGAGCCTGTCAGCAGTCCGCATACTGGCTGGGGGTACTGCGGGAGGATCCTGAGAAAGATACCCCCATACCTGACGCAGAAAGCGTTCCCCCAGGAACCATGCCCTGCCAACCGGCCCTTCGAGCAGGACCCTATACTGGGAGATGTCCGACCCTCCGGTATACTGAAGTCGGAGACCATCACCCAGGGACGCCCAAGGCTGCCATGAGATCTGTGGATGATAAATACATGAACCAATCAGAAATCGGGAATATACAGAGCAAATCAAAGATGAAAATGAAAGGAACTGAAAGTTCTGAAGTACCTCCGAATGCCGCACAGTGTCAAAATACTGTCGCAAGTAAATGAGGGTCTCTCGGGGTCTCGGCCTGTGCGGGCCCTCGAACACTAGTGAGTATGGGGTCATGGGAAGCCCTGCCACCTCCAACTCTGGGCCTAATGCTGGGAAGTATACATAGACCCATAGCTGAGAAAAGCAGTGCAGAATGTAAGTACGAAATGCTGAGAGCAAAATACAGGCTGTAAAAGTGCGCTGTGTGTGCAATGTACAAGTAATGAAGAGCAGAAATGTAAATCAAGGGGACAGAAAGTACCTCCCAGGCTCTCCAGTAGCCGCCAAGTAAATCTCCCCGCCCGCGGGAGGTCGCGCTCATATAAAAGTAAAGGGTAGCCAGGCCGGCGCCACCCCAGTCATATCGATGGACCTGTGATAGGTCAACCAGAGCACTCAGCAGGTATAGCCCGACGGTGTTCCCTCTATCGGCGAACAGAGTAGTCCCGAAGAGGAACATAAGGAAACCGCGGGCGTACTGCTCCGTCTCCTCAAGAGTCTCGGGCACCATCTCCGTCCGTCGGAAGTGGGAAGAGAACCAGGTGTATCGGACTCTCCCAGAAACCCTGTCAACAGGCGGGCGAGCCCCCAATAGATACATCCAAGCGGCCTCCCACTCGCCCATATCCTCATCATAGGGGATGGGCCAACCTCCTATGTCCAAGCCAGTCAACACAGCGAAGTCTAGAGGCGTCATGGTCATGTCTCCAGTGGCAGAGAAATGAAAGGAGTTGGTGGTGTCCCACCATCTCTCTACCAAGGCTGCCATCAGTGTCCTCCTGGCAGGACAACGTGACAACCCGACGCAGAAGGGCCCGAATCCTGCCAAATCTACCAAGTCTCGGACGCCCTCCGGGAGTTCAGCGTACCAGTCCGGAACCATATCCCCGTACACTGCGAGAACCAACCTGCATTCAGAATCAATACATGTGTCAATAATGAAATGAATGGGTTGTGTGCCAATGAGATGAAATGGGCTGTGTGCCGATGAGATGAAATGGGCTGCGTGCCAATGAAATGAACTGGGCTGCGTGCCGATGGAATGAAATGGGTTGTGTGCCGATGAAGTGAAATAAGCTGCATACAAATAAAATGAAGTAGCCGTGTGTTCAGAAGTGAAGTGTACGAACTGTGTGTTCAGTATAAGCAACTTTCAATTAGTGTGGGCCGTGTGTTCAACTTTCTATCAGTGTGGCCTGCGTGTTCACTATCTAATCTGGGCTGCGTGTTCAGAAAATTTAAAGTTTGGGCTGCGTGTTCAACTTTCTATCAGTGTGGGCTGCGTGTTCACTATCTAATCTGGGCTGCGTGTTCAGAAAATTTAAAGTTTGGGCTGCGTGTTTAACTTTCTATCAGTGTGGACTGCGTGTTCACTATTTAATCTGGGCTGCGTGTTCAGAAAAATTAAAGTTTGGGCTGCGTGTTCAACTTTCTATCAGTGTGGGCTGCGTGTTCACTATCTAATCTGGGCTGCGTGTTCAGAAAATTTGAAGTTTGGGCTGCGTGTTCAACTTTCTATTAGTGTGGGGTGCGTGTTCACTATTCAATCTGGGCTGCGTGTTCAGAGAATTTGAAGTTTGGGCTGCGTATTCGAATTTCAACTAGCGTGGGCTGCGTGTTCACTATCTAACCTGGGCTGCGTGTTCAGAAAATTTGAAGTTTGGGCTGCGTGTTCAAATTTCAACTAGCGTGGGCTACGTGTTCACTATCTAACCTGGGCTGCGTGTTCAGAAAATTTAAAGTTTGGGCTGCGTGTTCAAATTTCAACTAGTGTGGGCTGCGTGTTCAGAAAATTTAAAGTGTGGGCTGTGTGTTCACTTTCGAATTCGGGCTGTGTGTTCGACAAATCAGTGTTTGAGCCGTGTGTTCACCTCTAAACTAATGTATACTGTGTGTTCGCAATTAATTAATGAGCCGAGTGTTCAGAAATTCCAGTGTTGAAACTACATGTTCAGGATGCAAGCAAAGTACTATGTCATAAGCTAAACTGCATGTTCAAGCACGACAAAGGTGCGAAAATGTACGAAAAATATAGAAAATGATGTAAATACCTCTCGGGCCTCATGAGAGAGGTGATGCTCCGGCTCTCGGAGAAGCAGATCCCTGGGTGCTCGCTCGTCAAAGCTAGTAAAGTGACGGAAGACAGCACGAGGGAGGACATGTGTTGGCGGATGGTACCTCCCGGGAATAAAAGGTCGGGTCCTCGAGGGTAGAGTCATGGGATCGAAATCATCTCCGGCACCTGGAAAACCTCCGCCGTGGGGAGAATTGCCCGCCATTTTCAAAAGATCTGCAAAGGGAGCAAAATTGAGCAAAATGAGCCGAAATTGGAAAAAGTCAACAAAAGTCAACTCTCGGGAAATGAATAGTCAACGAAAGTCAACTCCCGAGAAAATCTTCCAAATATTGAGGCAAACTTACTTCAAGTGGCTAAAATGCGAAAAGAAGCTCCGAAACCGAAATTTAATCGCTTCAAAGTGCTTGAAACTGAATTTTTTTGCGAAAACAATTTGCACAGGGCGTTGGAGAAAAGAAGCTCCGAAACCGAAATTTAATCGCTTCAAAGTGTTTAAAACTGAATGTTTTTGCGGAAACAATTTGCGTGGGGCATTGGAAAACGCGTATAGAACTCAGATCTGGAGAAGAAAGTGGTGTAGAAGGTGAGAAAGGGGAAGATCTCGGCTGCCTTATATAGGCTCAAGGTCTTGGTTGAAGGAGCATAAAGAAAGAAGGTAAAAAGACCAAAGTGCCCCCGGATTTGGGCAGATTGCCGGCCGGCCACATTTACTAGCCAGCCAGCCATTTCCTTTTTGGAAAACCGGCCGGCCAGCCTTTTACTTTATGGAAAACCGGTCGGTGGCCTCCCCTTGGGAAGATAAACGGCCGGCCATGTCCCCCACATGCCCACTTAGCTCCCTGCAAATTTTGAGGAAGATCGGAGTTCCCGGGACCTGAAAAAGTTCAAGAAAAGTACACTTCCGGTCGCGAAATAGCTCCGCCGGAACTTCAGCTTCAAGTTCTGACATATGTCTCATCATCATTCATCGAAATCGAAGTATATCCTTTTTGAATGAGTTGTAGCCTTTCCGGGAAGCGGATCGGAGGCCGTGATCGAGTCGCCTTCGCCGAAACACGCATTTTCATACTCGTTGTTTCGTAACAAACGGGCACCCTGATTCATGCTCGTTGCGCACTATCATGCACATAACTTGCATTCTCATGAGCATACCTACATTAACGTGCACATTTCTTGATATTGGCGTACCTCTATGCTTGAGCATGCGTTGTCACGAATGTTCCACTCTTGCATTGCGATGCATTCACTCCGAAATCAAAGTGTATCCTTTTTGAATGAGTTGTAACCTTTCAGGGAAGCGGATCGGAGGCCGTAATTGAATCGCCTTCGCCGAAACGCGCATTTTCGTACTCATTATTTCATGACAAACGGGCACCCTGATTCATACTCGTTTTGCACTATCATGCACATTATCCTGCATTCCCATGAGCATACCTGCATTAACATGCACATTTCTTGATATTGGCATGCCGCTATATTTAGGCATGCGTTGTCACGCATGTTCCACTCTTGCATTACGATGCATTCACTCACTGGCACTGCGTGTGTCGAACTTTCGGAATCACATTGGATATATGTTGGTAGCATATTGTACTTGTTGCAATTTCTCTCTTTTACAGGCACGATATTGTATGTACGGTTCAATTGAGGCTGGTGCGACCAGACGAATCGCGCAGGTATCGTATCTTCTCCGTGTGAGACGTGGCGAGGATTGAATAATTCTCCGCATTCTTAACTGCATGAAATGTAGTTGTTACTTTGCATTCTTTGTTGCATCTATTTGCGAATACTTGCTTCATTACAGCTTGCTGTATTTGCATGATCATTGGGTTACCTTCGGCTTCTTGCATATCATTTGAATTTTGCCCCCTGCCTGCGGGCATGCCTGCGGGCACATCTCTGTTTATCTTGTACGTTTGTCTAAGTCTTCGGCCGTGTCAAAAATAGGTCGTCTCTGGGCTTTGACATTCACTCCCGTCACTTGTGACTTCCGAGTTCTGTCAAAGAGGGACAACTGTAGACACCCCATTTTTGACTGACCTTGAGACTCAGACGTCACCAGTTGAGCGCTTGGTGATATTGCATAATGTGCTCGTTCAGAAGTTTCAGAGTCTTGGCCATGAGCCCTGCCTCCGGACTTCCGAACCCTCTTCTGTGCCTTGCCTCGGTTTGCGAACCAGACTCGATTTTCTCTATTTCTTTTCCTGAGGGGAAGGAGAGGTCCCGTGGACCATCTCTCAGTGGCCGTGGGCTACATTTTGTGACTGTAGGCCATTTTTCCCATTTTGAGAGCCCGGTTCCCGGTTTTCGGAGCCGTCAGGCCGTGTGCCTCGGTTCGGGACCACTTAATCACCTCCATTTGCTCTGGTTTTTGGCGTGCATCTTATTTACTCCTTTTTGAGGGACACTGAGGTCTGAGAGACCCACTTCGTGGTCGAGTGCCACTTTCGGTGCTTAACAGGCAGTTTTCGGGACCCCGAACTACGCGTTTTGGCCCCCGAACATTCGTTTTGCATCGGTTTTTGTTCTGCATCGGTTTTCGTTCATTTTTGGCAGGTACCTTTGTTTCATCACCAGGTAGGCCGTAGAAGGGTGGGAGGCCAGCAATTGTTTCAGCAACCAGTTGCATATCCTCCGGCGCCCTCCGACGCCCGTTTTTCTCACTTCCGAGCCAATGTTGAACACCCTTGGGCCATTTTCTTGAACTTTTAACCACATATTTGTGATGTACACACATGGGAGGACCCTAAAAGTTGGTGGCCGGCCAGTAATTCCACATGACCCTTTTGAACCCTTCCTAGAAATGGCCTATTCTCTCTCCTGTTTCACTGTTTCTAATTTTGAACCACAGGGTTGCGTTGAGGACACATGGGAGGACACCTATCTGTGGTGGCCGGCCATTAAATCACCTTGAACCTTTTGACCCTTGGCCGGCCGGCCATGGGAGGTAGTCGGCCGGCCACCTGCAGCTCCAAAACCTGGCCGGCCATAATCCTTACAGTGTGTACTTTACAGTTGTATAGCTGTTTTCCCCCGAAAATATCTGTATCCGGGGGACAGCTAGTGGGGAAAAGTTGGTCCTTTTTTCCCCACTCTTTTCCTCCTTGCCCTCCCTCTCCTTGGTCCACATAACTGGCCTCCAGCTTTGGTCCAAGGGTTGGGAAATTTTTGGCTTCAAGACTTGTATCCATATCTCCCTCTATCTCTCTCTTTCAACCAAAACAACCAAGTTCTACCACCTTTTCTTCATCACCACCTAGCATCACCACCACTACATTTCCACCAGTTTGGGGAGTTTTCCAGCAGCTAAGAGGCACCACTTCTCAAGCCAAGAAGCAGCCAAGACTTGTCTTCAAGGGTGAGTAGCATTTCCTTCCTTGTGGTCCATATCTTGTGTCATTTATAAGCCATATATGCTTGCTGTTTTGAGCTCCGGCCCTAACTGAAAGTGGCCTTATTTTGAGCTCTTTTTCACTTTTGCTTAAGGGCTCAACACTGTTTGAGCCCCCCATATTGCACTTGCTTCAATATCCTTCTTAAATACCGTTATCTTGCGTAGTATTTTTAGCCTATGTGTGATCTGTTTTGGAGCATGATGTAAACTATAGATAGGCTTATTTTGAATCCCTCTTCAACATTGAAGAAGGGCTCATCACTGTTTGGGACCTCCACCTACCACTTCATGTTATATCCCTCTTTGGTCCCCATTTTTGCATGACTTGGCAGCCCCTTGTGCTTCTGTTTTTGGTCATTTTACAGAACTAAAAATAGTCTTATTTTGGCCCATTCTTC